GGAATAATAAGATAAGGAGCATAAAGATGCAAAAGGGAAAGGAAACTTCAGGGATGCTCACTCTGTTGTCCCTGTCGAAGCCATTGGTTCATCTTCATTGTCTTTGGCACATGGTGATGATTCACTTTCTTTTCGATCCACCATTTCCTCTTTATTTACTACGCCATCAGAAATGGATTTTTGAGCTGCTGTGTTACTTGGAAATTTCTCCTTCATCGGCTCCATTCCGTCGACCATGATTGTTTTAGTATCCACTTCCATTGATTGCCCATTTTGAACGTGAAAAGTATCATCCCCAGCTATTTCCCTCAAGCCTGAATTCACCAAATTTTCAGCTAGATAAATTATGGAAATCTTGGAGAGGAAACAATTTACAAACTAAATTAACCAAAAAAAAATAGTAAACTCACCATCATCTAGCAATGTGGTGAAAGATGAGCTTACGTCCCGAGACAAATCTGATGTCTGAGAAGATTTATCGCCAGCATTGTTTTTGCTATCTGAATCAAGATTTTCTTGCTTTTTTGAGGATTGAGATTGCTTTAGCAGATCGAACAGAGCTTCGGCAACCTCTATCTCATCATCTTGAATCAATGTCGAATGCCTGGAATTGGAAAAACTTTTCGGAATGCAAATTTTAGGGCCGGATGATTTCTGCAAAATTATCAAAAAGAAATCTCATCCAGTTAATTTCATTAAATGAAACTTGAGATGTTAATACTGAATTCTGAGGACCAAAATAATTATCATGAAAAAGTAAAATCCATACTGAAAAGTTGAGTGTCTTCTCCTTCGAACAAACACCCGAAGATGATGGAGCGACAGTGTCACCACCCTTCGGATTCGCCGCCGCCGAAGAAATTCTCCCGTAACTTAGGTCTTCCTCGGATCCCCCACTCTCTGAATTGCAATACTCGTGCAACCTTTTTGTCGAAGCTGAAAAAAGCAAATCAATTGATTATAACAAGATTAAATTGAAATAATACATAAATATTCAATCGAACAATTTCATTAATAGCAATAAGTTTCAAGCATCCTCAATAATATACCAGAGCGAGTTCTTCTGGGAATTGGAACACCGATAATCTCATCGGAGACCGTCCTCAGTGTCGGCGATGACCGTAAGGTACGAAGCCTCCGCCGCTGATTCTGACTATTGTACGGTGGCCCCAGTCGATCCATCTGATTAAGACGACGAATTCTTCCATTCTCTTCCTCCTCGTAGTCTTCCTTACAACTGTCATCCTTGCAATCCGCATCTCCACCTCCAGTCTCCACCTCTCTGTTACTTCCACCAGCTCTCCCATGGTGTATATCTCTCTCTACCCTTCTTCTCTTCGAAACCTCTCGACTCGTATTCTTCTTCTGTGCTCGCCCTCTTTCCTGTGATTCCATTTCTCCATCTTCATCTGCAAGCAACAAACAAATTAAAAAAAATATCACAAAATTCTGAAATTTAAGGAACGTATCAATATATAATTTATTTCCATTGATTTTTCTAACCGTGTGAATCACGGATGTTGTTGGTTTTGTGTCGTCTTTTCGATACCCCGTTGATAACAGCCATGCTCACTCTCCTCAAATCTCTGTTTCTTTCCATAACTCTATAAGATTTCTTCTCCACCCGGCGAGAATTCACAGTTACCGCCGGATTAACACGACTTTTCACCGGCGCGAAGGCTTTACCGGTCTGAATTTAGAAATGAAAAAATCTGTCAGTTTCTTTGCACTTTGTTTCTGCTCTATACCTTTTTTGTTGCTTTTCAACTCACGTGAAACCCACTCCAGAACGGGACTGGACGGCAACGATTTATCTATCACTTTGAAACTCAATCATCACCGTCAGATCTAATCATCAATCCAACGGCTGTAACCATCCGTTCCTACATGGCAGAACCGTCACTTTCTCATCTCCAAGAAATCATGTTGCCACGTGGATAATTAATTATCT